CAATGTCGAAACCATATTTGAACAGGAGATTTTTATGTGGGTTTCCCAAGTAAGTCTGCTGGTCTTGTCTAATCGTTTATAAAGCATAATATAACATGTTTTGGGGTTCCAGCTATTTTTTACTTCAAGTAATTTTAACCAGAATGAGATACAACACTTAAAATAATCACAGCAGAATGGCAGACTTCCACATTCGTTCAACATCGCTACATTGTTTGTACAACTATTAACGCTAAGTAGATATCTGCGCAAAATGTTGTCTGCACCCTCTCCATTTCCGAATTTTCGTACCCCCATATAGATACCATAAAAAATAGCTGGCACAATGATTGCATCAAACAAAATAAATGCAGTAACCAATGGCATACCACCAAGTTTCTTATAGTATGTAAATGTTTTGGTTCACTGTAAATTTGTTTTTAGAGGGCGGTAAAATAATATGCATATAGTGGCAGTGGTCTCAATAGACTTCAATGACTACATATCCTTTTTATGAACCCACTAAAAATATAGTAAATCTTCTAAATCAAAAAAACGTGTAAAAATATGTTTGAAAAATATAATTCATCGCATAGTTTCAGTGCTGAAGCAACACACTGTGGGGTAAATTGTTGGCTGCAAGAAGATCTTCGACCTATACAACTCGTGATGATAAATCTTCGGCATTTTTTTAATGATATGATCCACCCGTAGCTGTACAATATTGTCCAATAACACAGGCTACACGTACTTACAATAAGTTGACTACATTTGGCTGATACACTTGGAACAAAACAGTATATATGCCATCATTAACTTGAAGAATACACAACTAATGAAGCAAACTTAGAAAGTACAGTGTCGTGTTGTCGTGTCAATCCCCATACTTTACTAACTGAGCGAACACTAGCACAAGGGCTATTCAGGGCCACTACATCCTTCAGAGAGTGACTACCATTACATTATTGTTTCAATGTTGTTTTAATATTTAACATCAGCTGCTTGAACGCAATCTTCATTACACCATCGCGGAATCACCGAATAAAAGCTTGCCCATTTATAACAATCTTTTTTGATTGGATGCTGTTGAGCTGAGACGGCGT